GCCTCACTCTCTGAAAACATTGGGGGTTTAAACTCAGGTTCTCATGCTTGCAAAGCCACCACTCAGTCTGAGCCCTCTCCCTGGCCCACCTTTAAGATTATTTAGAATTTCAGGGCACAGTGGTCTTAAACCTAATGGTAAATGAACTTTGAAGATGGGTACCTTGGTTTAAGGGGCTACTGCATCTTAGTCAAAACAGGAGACTAAACTATGTTGGACTTTTTCACATTACCAACTTTAAAAAGAAGGGAAAATTTAACCTTTACATTTACCATAATTTAACCTGTTTGGGTGTTGATCCAAAGAGAAGGTTTTGGTTACACATTTAAACAACTGGAATAAATAAATGCTCAACTGGTTTTCATCTTTTAGTACCTTTGGGGGGGGTTCTAACAAATTAATAAGCACAAGAATGAGTTGCAAATTTATCTAGTTTTATTTCAAAATTCTTCTCTTATGAACTTAGAAGAAATGGGGCTTTGTCTATTCCACCAAATGTAGAAAAATTTATTACAACAAAAGGGAAGAAGGGCAGTGAGATGGCTCATTGATTAAAGGCACTGGCCACAAAGCCTTATGACCTGTTTGACCTCCAGGGCATACATGGTATAAAAAGAGAGAACCAACTCCTGCAAGCTGTCCTCTGACTTCCACATGCATACCACATATCCCCTCACACACAAAATAAATAAAATGTAATTTTTAAACATTTAGAACCAGATGGGAAGAAAGAAGAGGCAGGATCTGAGCTTATACAGACAGATAAGAATGGTAAAATCCTTAAGGCCCGCTCAATGGGAGGAACTCATGCATGGTACTATAAACACAGCCAAGTGCATATGGCTCGAGTTATCACAGACCCAAGAGAAAACCCTACTTCTGTCTATTCCCTAGATCAATTTTGTTTCTTACTGTATTCTGAATACCTATGCTTATATTCACTGACAAGTGTGCCTCTCACCACTCATCAAAGAAGTTTCTTTTTGCAACCGATGGAGACTATTACAAAGTTTCATAACTGGTAAAATGCAGAGAATAAGTGACTGTGAGGTGTCCAGCCCTAAGTGACACATCTACAATGCAACATCTGCACCTAAGGCTCAGGGAAGAGAGAAAAACTGGAAGGCACAAAGAATTTAAGAGCTAGGGACAGACAACTGCAGCTACTTAATGCAGGAATTAATGCAAAGACAATACTCATCCATGAAATTCTCCAAAATTATAATTAAAAACAAAAACAACAACAACAAAAAAAAACTGGCAAACTCAAAAGACCAAGCATCATTGGCAAGCAAGCAGTCAGATGGTTTGGTGTGAGGACAATGTTTACCAAAAAGGAGAAGTTGGTTTCTGCAACAAGCCCAATACAAGCAGATTTGTAACTGAACAATAAGCATTTCTTTACTCTACGCCTTCTTCTAATTTCCATGCATGGGAAGGTAGGCTGAGGATCAGGAACCCTACACCACCTGCACTGTGCAAAGGAAGCATGAGGTGGAGCTGGTAAGGCATGTTAATTATTGACTCCACAGCTAACCAGGGTAATGTATTCTTTTCTAAATGGGAGGCATGGCTATCACATTCGTCAGCTACTTACTCATCCCTACAATCTTTCGTTATTATTTTTAATGATCTGTAACAAATACATGATATGAAAATGACAGCTATACAGCCAGAAACCAAATGTGAATGTGGAGCATAAATGAGGCATTCTGGATAGATCCATATTTTCCTAGCTTTCCTTCTGAATCCCTCAGTGGGGCTATTGCCCATAAACTGGGCCCCCATTCAAAACCACACAAGCTGAGGCTCAGCGGACTGTTCGGTCACACTTCACCTGCGTCGTGATGTAGTGTGCAAGGTTGTGCCTGCTTTCTCTGGGACTCTGCTCTTGTACTTTTTCCCTTTGCTAAGTTTCATCTGTCTCCTTTTGCTCTAAGAAACAATGAGTTCCTCAGTCTGGTGAGTCCTTTGTCCTTCCAGTGAATCACTACACCTAGAGGTGGATGTGGAGTTCCCTGACACCCCACCAAATGCCCTGTTTGCACTTAACAAAGTTACATTAAGGCATGAGACCTGGGGCTGGGGGAGATGGCTCAGCGGGTAAAGGTATTTGCTACCAAGCCTTCTGAAGACCTGAGTTCCATCCCTAGAACCCATGGTACAAGGACAGAACCGACTTCCACAATATTAATTAACCTCAAATTTTTCAAAATGACTTCAAGACATCACTACTTTCCAAGGTCCTTTCATCTTCTAGCCAGTGGCACTTTTACGTAGGTCTTACTTATTACCTGATGAAACTAATGTTTTCCTTTCTATTTCTACAGCAAAGGCACCCCTGAGAGAGGCTCGCTTCCATGTTCCTGAAGATCCTTTTTTAGACAGGGACACACATTAGCAATGTAAAAGAGCTACTGCAGTCCAAAAAATATTTTTAGAGCTGAACAATAAGCCTTGAACTTTTGCTTAAATTAAGAGAGCTGAGCCATTAAAATGACTTCCTGAATCCATGGAAACGTGCCTTGCGTAAGAAGGGACCTGGGAAACATGAGGCGGCGAAGCTGCTAGGACGATGGGGGGCAAAGCATCTTCATCATTTCTGACGCACTTATTCCCAGACTTTAAGAGCAGAACCCTTTTCCAGGTTATTAAAACTAATCACCAGCAGTGGGAGGGAATGCATCAGACTGAAAGCCTGCTACTTGCAAGTATTTTATTATCTACTGTAGAATACTTTCCGGCAGACTTTCTTCTTCCCCAAGGGGAAAATACTCTGAGAAATTTTAATAAAAACGGGCACCGCACTTTACTGACCGCAAAGGTCTGTTTGTATTCTGCACCTGGAGGGATCAAAGTGCAGCCACAGGAGAAGATGAGGTGAAGGGAGGAGAAAGGAGACGCCTACTAATGGTTACTCGCCAACAAAAAAGGGAAGAAAAAAAAAATCCCACAACGAAGAAGTGGTTTCAGCTTTAGATAAGTTTATACGGCTGTATTGTGATATGAGGTAGGCTATCCTGGGTCATGATGTCTAGTAAATTACATGCATTAAATTATTTTTTTCTTTCATGAGTTTTTGTATGTGGCGCACATATACGCACTGATGGGCTGCCTCTTGGTGCACATGCAGAGGCCATGGGTCAAAAATGTGTGCCCTCCCCTGTTGCTCTCCATCTTGTTTTTTGAGGCAGGGCCTCCAATGACCCCACTTCCTCCAACTAGACCCCACGGGGCTGCACTTCTTAAAGGCTCCATCACTACCCAGCTGTGCCACTGGCTGGCAATCAAGCCTTTAGCTTATGGACCTTTATGATTCTGAAATAATGAGCTGAAGTGTGCTCCTCAGTGTAAGATTACTGGTAACTCTCATCAAACCCATTATAAGTTGAAAATGGGTCAAAAATACATTTAAGGACTGGGCAGATGGCTCTGTGGTCAAAGTGCTTGCTGTGTAGTGTGAAGGTCTGAGTTTGCATTGATCCCCACCATCCCTGTAAAATCCAGGCTAGGCGTGTGCATCTCTAACCCTAGTGCTGTGGGGCTGAGGACAACCTTGGATGCTGTTCTTCAGGACCCACCCACCTGGTTTTATAAGATAGGATCTCTCACTGGTTTGGAACTCTCTAAGCAGACTCAGTTGACTGGCCAGCAAACCTCTAGGATCCAACTGCCTCTACCTCCCCGCGATGGGACTGCAAGCACCCAACACTTTCTGTGGATTTTTTTTTTACAAGAATTCTGCAGATCCTGAGTCAAGCACTTTACTGAGAGCTCTCTTCCTGGTCCAGAGATATTTTTATTTAACCCACCCCACGTAAGGCACATTGCTACAACTGTCCAAGGAAACAAATTCAGCCATACTTGACCTTGCTTAGGAATACATCCATGTGCAGTGAATTCAAGCAGACTAGGGGAAACAAATCCGGAAGGGTGGGATTACCAGTAGGGGAGGGAGTTAGAAAAATGAACGGAGGGAGTGTCTCTATTGGATTGAAGTGGCTTGCTCCTTGCAAGGGAGGTAGATACCAGGATGTTTTTACATTAATGTCATTTTGTAGGTCTTAAATATCTTCGAGTAGTAAAAGTTCCATGAGAAATCCAATGGCTCGTTGATTGCTCTAGACCAGACTCAAGTACCACATCCCACATCTGGCTCTCTGAACATGCCAGTTGTTACCCATAAAGCCTATTTCCTCAACAGAGGACACATGTGTTTGGCCTTTGAATTACTTACCATGGACTACCACTTTGGTCAAAATCAAAAATGTTGCAATAGGCAAGCATGGTAGTGTATGCCTTTAATCCCGGCACTTGGGGGGCAGAGGCAGGAATATTTCTGTGAGATCAGGGAAGCTGGGGCTACAGGGAGACACTATCTGCCTCCCCCAACCGCAGAAAAAGACATTCCTAAGGTTCTTTTTTTATTTTATTATTTTTATTTTATGTGTATGCCTGTATTGCCTGCATGTAGGTAAGTGCACCCGTGTCGTGCAATGCCCACGGAGGTCAGAAGAGGCTGTCGGATTCCCTGGGACTGGAGTTGCGGACAATTGTTAGCTGCCATGTGGGTGTTGGGATTCGAACCCAGGTCTTCTACAAGAACAATCAGTGTTCTTAACCACTGAGCCATCTCTCCACCCTGACATTCTTAAATGCCTAACACCAAATTTTACTGGGGATGGGGCAGGGGTGAGTTTGGAAGTTGAATTAAGTCTCTGGAGATAACTGTAAGGTTCAAATACAATTCTCAGCCCAAGAAGGACCTCACTAGGCTAGAAGCCACCCAAGTGCTTCCACCCGCTTCCATGTCAATTATGGCTGCTCTTGAAGGTAAGCTCAATGGAATGTCCTCTGTCATGGGAAGAAATATCACATCCACATTCTAGTCCAGGAGTGAAGTGGCCCCCAAACCACTTCCTGATCACTCACTAGGGGGTGGGCTGTTCTGTTGAAGGCGTGTAGAAAATGAATGTCCTACAGAAAACTGAGTGGGTTACCTGACTCCTGGAGGTAGCGGTACACCAGGAAGTTCACCTCGTCGCTGGTAATGCTCATCTTAGCCTCACCTTGCAGCGATGAGGTCTTTGTCTTCAAGAACTGGGAGCCGCGCTCTGTGATGAAAATATCAGAAACATTGCGTTAAACACATTACCTGATTTGCCTTCTACATGTGTGCGTGCATGTATGTGGTGCTGAACCAGAACTCAGGGGCCTTGTGTACGCTAGGCAAGTGCTCCACCACTGAGCTACATCCCAGCTGTTTCCTTTTGATGATGATTAAAGAAAATAATATCCATGCTTTCATACACGTGACAGTAAGTAGTCTCATGCACATTGTATTTTGTATTTGTATTTTGTAATTATATAAAAATTTCATTTAGCTCAGTGGTACACCAATGGCATAGCAGACCAATGGTCCTGATAGTACCCCCACACATACCTACACATTAGCGATATCAATATAAATAAGTTATATACAAATAGTAACATTGTGTTTACTATTACATATAACATTAAATTATAAGTTGGTCAATTAGTATTATAATATGACTGATGTATACACATATACATGTACATATACATACATGTCTATGTATAAACTTGTCACAATCCAAAATCACCTGGAAAGAGGGTCTCAATGAGAGATTGTCTAAAATAAGGTTACCGTGGGCATATCTGTGGGTATTGTCTTGAATGCACTAATTGATGTGAGAAAACCCAGCCCACTATGGGTGGCACCATTCCCTGCGTTTGGGTCCTAGACTCTATAAAACAGGAAACAGCAAGCTGAGCACAGTCATACATGCATTCATTCTCCCTGCTCTTGACTGTGGATGTGACTAGCTGCTTCAAGATCCTGCAATGACTTCCCCTTAATGCTTGACTATATCCTGAAACTGCAATTCTCTTCTATGTTGCCTTTGTCAGAGTACAAAGAAGCAGAAATGAAATGAGGAAGGAGAGAGGGAGAGGGAGGGAAAATTATATATATATATATATGTACATATATATGTGTGTGTGTGTGTATATATCCACCTGAAATGGTTTTCCCAAAAAAAGAAAAGCTGGTGTAATTTTTAAGGTTGGGATAGAATAAGGTATAAACCATGCTATAAGGAAGTCAAATTCAGTCAATAGATAGTAGAAACAACCAACTGATATTTTTGTTTTTAAATATTTATTTTTATTGTTTTATTAGGGAGGAGGTGTGGAAGTGCAGAGCCCTCAGAAGCCAGAGGCCTTGGATCCCCTTGGAGCTGGAGCTGCCAGTGGCTGTGAGCCACCTAATGTGGTTGCTGGGCACGAAACCCGGGTCTTTGCCTTCTCTACAGCTCCCCAATTGACTTCTTATTCAGTGAAATCACATGTGCATCATGATTCACAGTGTGCTTGTCAACTAGCACACAGAACCCTGAAGGGCACTTGGGCAGATGTGGGTGATCAGGCACTAAGCACCTTCCCAGACAGAAGGTACCTGAGCAGACTGACAGTGATGTCAACCCTTCTTTGGAAGAGTAAAGGTGTGGTCCTGGGGAAATGATGAATCACACACAAAGGCCACTCTACCTACAAGGTGAGCTCCAAAAAAGGTGAGCAGGGGTGAAGCTGGGTAGTTACATATGCATCTTGATCCTATTTCTGTGTTAGAGCTCCGGGTCGAAAGGTAAAGGGAAAATAGGGGGCAAAGAGAACCAGAGGAAAAAGAATCCACAGCACCATCTGCTAAGACTGATAAATTAACCAGAAGAAAAACAAATTGTATATACACAGGAATGAGGGGGACTGGGAGGGGTGGAAATAATGCTCATGGATGAAATTCTCAAAAATAAAAAGTGGAAAAAAATAAAACTACAGAAATACCAACAAAGAAAAGCAAAGCTTATCTTCCTGTGCTGACATTAATATATTTGTGCAAACACTGCCAAGAAGATTTGATCTGAGATTTCTACTTGGTGCTTGAGGGAGGAAAAATAGACTCAGTAAGTAGCTGTAAATTCACAGTATTACCTAACAAAAATACTGTTTAAAGGGAAGAGATTAGACAACCCAAAATATGTGTAAGAACACTGAGGTCTGGGCAGACCTTCAGTGAGGCTGAATATGTTCAGAATAGTGATGAATCTCAGCCACAGGGACAGACTTATAGTCTCAGGGTCTCTCTACATCCCACATAGCTGCAAACCTCTGATTTTTATATCACCAATTTGTGATGAAAAGATAATGGAAGGGCAAAGGGCGCATCCAGTTATTAGAGGGAGGGTCAGAAAGAAAAAACATTTGAAAAGTGGTTCACACCTACAAACCCCACAACAAGCCTACCATAGTTATTACCAATACTTTCTAGGCTAGCCATGCATTCATGAAACTTTCTAAACCAGGGCTTCTGAAACACATTTTGAAGACTCATCCCCAAAACAGGAAATAAGGGGCTGGAGACATGGCTCAGTGGTTAAGAGCACATGGTGCTCTTGCAGAGGATCTGTGTTTGGTTCCCAGCAGCCTGTTACTCCAGCTCCACGGGATCTGACGCTCTCTGCTGGCATCCACAGGCACTTGAACACATGTGCATAAACACTCACACAAAAACACATACACATATGCATGATTTTTTTTTAAACATAGGAAATAATTTGTTTGACTTTTCCATGAGTTGATATCAAATCTCCATTCAACATAAAACATAATTTCACAATGTTAAACTCCAGCTACACAATCTTTTTCGGAGCAAAACTAAAAATATAAAAACACACTACAAGAACAAAAAGTACTAATTCATGACATGAGCTGTATGTTAACTACTTATTATACTTTTTATTTGAGACAGTTTCCACTATGTAACACAAATTTCTCTTGAATTCCCAATTCTCCTGTCTTAGCCTCCACAGAACTGGATCACCCCTGAGTAGCAATTACTTTTTCCACACTTGAAACTTTGTTGAAGTCCTTTGGCAAGGAGGGATGGAGATAGAAGGATTAGAACGCTGCAGTCCTAGTTTAACTTAGACCTGAGAATGTATGGATGAATTCCCTTCACCTACCACCCCCCAGCACATGCTTTTTGTTTTTGGGGGGGTTGCCCCCTCTCTCCCTCCCTTCCTGCTATGATAGTCAAGGTAATACAGCCAGATGGCCAGGGACTGAAGGGTCTGGAACAGCAGACCAAAACAAAGCCTTCCTCCTTTAACTTGTTTTCCTCTGGTATCTCGTCCCAGTAATGAAAGAGTGACCTGCACAGATCTCTGTGGCTTTGACTACTCTAGGTACATCTCCTGTTAAGTCTGTTTTTGAGGAAATGAATCCTCCAGCTTCAACTCATTGTTTCATTCTTTCCATCAAAGACCCAGACATCTGAAATGAAAGCCAAGGTAATGGATTCACTTTTTATTTGTATTTTATTTCTTGAGACAGGGGAGGGTCTCACTATATAGCCCTGGCTGGCCAGGAACTTGCTATGTAGACCAGGGTGGCCTCAAACTCACAGAGCTCTACCTTCTATCTGCCTCTCAAATGCTGGGATTAAAGGAATGTGCTACCATGTCCAGCAAGGTAACATCTTTAAATGAGTTAACCCATTCACTTTGGTTCTGAAGTGTTCCTAAATTGCAAATATGTAAACTCTACACCCTAGCTTTATTAAATCATCATTGTCAATATCCTGCCTTGTTTTCAGCCAACTCCTCTAAGAAAAGGGGAGTTCTGCGAAGAGAATGAGAAGTTCATACATACTCCCATCATACAATTATCATGCACTTACTATAATCCTACTGCAAATAAAAGTAAATACATGCATTGCCCTACTTTTGCTGTGGCCAAGAAAAATGATGGAGAAGAAGATAATGAAAATGACTCTGAACTCACTGTATTCAAGTTATGGTGTTTGGCAACATTAAGGAAATGTACAAAAACAAAACTTTCCTTTCATACATGCACGTAGCTCTGAAGCAGTTTAATAAGATGACTAGTCAATTAGAGCAAACCTTCATTAATCAAGCCCCGCCCCCATGTACTCCAAGGTATCATAGATAGGTAGCAGAGCTCCAAGGAAAGAAAGTTCTTAATAGGTAAGGAAATTTTTTTCAAGAAGACTTTAGTGTAAGGGGGCGGCTAGGGATGAAATCTAGGGTTCCACACATACTACGAAAGTGTTTCACCTCGTGATATGGATAATGCCTGGGCTTTGGGAACAAGAAAAGCTAAGAGATATTCAGGAGGGAGGGAGGGAGGGAGGGAGAGAGAGAGAGAGAGAGAGAGAGAGAAAAGACAGAGAGAGAGAGGGAGAGAGAGAAACCGAGAAAGAGACAGAGACAGAGAGAGAAAAGAGAGAGGCAGAGACAGAAAGAGACAGAGAGGAAAAGAAGGAGAAAGACAGAGAGAGAGAGAGAGAGGGAGGGAGGGAGAGAGAGAGGCGGGTTACTTTATAAAAGGGATTTTTGACATTTAATAATATACTGAATGTACCCAGGGTCTCTAGAGCACCCTCCGCGAAAAGGTTGAAAGTCAAGCTAAGGATGTCCCAGTATGCAAAAGAGACACTGCCTTTGCACCTCTCTGCCAAGAAGGCTTTTGTTGGGCAAGTGACAAGTAGCTGGGAATGCCCATGCTAGTGTGCTAGTAACTTCTTGTTAACTGCGATAAAACACCTGAGAAAAATCAGCTTAGAGGGAGGGAGATTTATTTTGGCTTATGGTTTCAGAGCTTTAACTCCAAGATCAGCTGACTTCACTGCCTTGAGCCTAGGGTGAAGCTGAAACCTCGTAAGCAGAAGGGCATGATGGAGGAAAGCTGCTTACCTAAGGGCAAGCAAGAAACAGAGAAAGATCTGCCAGGAACAAGACATACCCCCAGTGGCCTGCTTTCTCCAACCAAGTACCACCACCTAGTAGTCCATTCAGCCATGAATTCATCAGTAGGCTAAACCCACTGATGAAATTAGCACCCCACCATCCAATCACCTCTTGACAGAGCCCCCCAGTTGTGAACCAACTCTTCTACTCATGAACTTTTTATGAAGACACTTCATATTCAAAACACAACATCTAGTTACAATAGGCTGAGGGTAAATTGGGGCTACAGTACAGATCTCTACAGAGCTAACTAGAGAGGGAAGATA